TTTAACTTCCCCGCTGAGTTGCTAATTGCGATCACACAACCTGCCCAACTATCCGGCAACTAAGATAAAATCAATAGGGCCTGCACTTCTTCATCAAACGTTATGTCAACGGAGATAAGTTGATCAACAATTATGTTGAACTCACTGAGATGTATCATGAAGGAGCATTCTTCTGCCATCTTGAGGTTGAAGAGAGTTTTGACGAGTTGCACCTTGTTTGCAGCTGACGGTTGCTCGTACATCTTTGCAAGCACTTCCATAACCTCCATTGTCGTTTTCTCCTTCAATATGTTGTGGGTGACTGACTTCGCAAGTGACAATCAGATCTGCCCTAGAGACTTCCGATCTAATATTTCCCAGTACTCGTCAGTCTCATCTTTCTTCTTTCCTTTTGTTTTACCCATCCACAGGCGGTAAAGATCCTTCCGGTTCATGTAGTCCTCCATCTTCGACTTCCAGTAGGCGAAGTCTTATCCGTCAAATTTCTTAATCTTTGATTTACTTTCTTCTGCCATAGCTCTCACACAAATCTTTTCCGAATGAAGCTCTAATACCAGTTGTTAAGGTTTTTAGCCAATCGACAGCCTGTCAATGAATCCTCATGCAGTGTGCCCTCAGGATCTTGTGACGAAAATAAACAAGAAGAAATCATAGCAAATAAAAGAAAAACTTGTAGAAAAGAATAAAAGAGAGAACGCCAGATTTAACGAGGTTCGGCAAACGTGTCTACGTCCTCAGGAGCAACACAAGAAATTCTTTAATTATTCAAGAAGATTACAAAGCTTGCAAAAATGAGCAATCTCTCCCTTTGAGATCTCTCATGGCGTTTCAAAAGACTGCTGCAAAAATTGTACAGAAAAAACGCTACAGGAAAAATCGGTCAAGGTCCCTATTTATAGGGAAACCCTAAAACCGAAACATATTAGGAATTTGTTTTTCTGGGAAGTTCGCCTGCACTGCAAAGTTCACATGTACTGAAGGTCGCCTGCATTGAAGTTCGCTTGCGCTGAAGTTCGTCTGTACTTAAGTTTGCTTGAAGTTCACCTACGTTGAAGCTTGCCTGAACTAAAGTTCGCCTGCGCTGAAGTTCGCATGCGCTGAAGTTCGCCTAAACTGAGGTTCACCTGTGCTCCAAGTTCGCCTGATTTCCAGACTTGGAAAAATTTCTGCTTGTTCCAAGGTTTGGGTCTACACCCCTAAAACCAACAAATGAAAGCAAATTAACTTATTTTCATCATAACAATTTATTATTTAATGAATCATCAATGCAAATATATTAAATATTAATGTAAAATGAATCATAACTGTCTAATAATCGACAGGACAGTGGTTGAACAATTGGAATCTCCATTGTGATTAGGAACGAACTAAAGATGATCCCTATCAATTTGTATGATGTGTTTTGATTGGAAAACAACCAATCAAGAAAAACTTATTGCTTGGTACTCTTCTAGAGAGGTAAAGGGTTTAAACAACAGCTAATTAAAAAGGAATGGCGCTATCAGCAACAGTCTACCACTTATGGCAAGAGAGAAGAAGTTTGAGGCTTTTCAAGCACAAAGCTAGAGATTTTGAAGTCTTGATTAGAGTAATAATAGCTTCTATCTTTTCAGTTGTATTTAACAATCTCATTGAGGATCATTTTAATGATGGGGTTAAGAATCTATAACTGAGCCAATACTTTTCTTATTTTTGGATGATATGTTTTTGTAACTCTAGGATTTCTATTACTTGAGACTTGATGTACATAATTTTCATATTTGGTGTTGGGCGCAGAGTCACGCCCTCACGTCGCGGAAGCGATATAACCCGAGAGAAAGCCCTTGTTTTTATTGTCACAAAAGCTCAAGCCAACCTCTATATTCCTGTTTCACAAAGAAAACAAGAATAGAAAGCGAAATATCTCAACAAAGTAAAATATACATTCTTCCTCTCATCAGTTCTAGGACTGACTTGTCGAGGAAACCTGTAAGTAATAACCAACACCCAGAAAAACAGTAAAGACACGAGATTTACGTGGTTCGGCAAATTTCCTACGTCCACGGGAGAATGGGTAAGGGGAGATTCCACTAAGAGGAGAACACCGACGACTTGTACAATCCACAAGCTCGTCCCAAAGATAAAGCTATGATTTTTACCTAAAAGAAATTAACATCTCTCTTGTAAAATCCCTCCAAGCTCTCTTTTTTTTCTCTCTTCAAGATCTCAGATCTAAGCCTCCTGAAAAACTCCTCAAAAAAGACCGACTAAACCCTCTATTTTCTTCTCTGCAGCCGAAAAACCCTCCGTTGTATTTCCTGAAACAGCCGCCAAAAAAACCCACCGCAAAACCCTCAAACAAAGGATATTTATAAGAGAAGAATCAAACCTGAGTTGTCTCGGGTGTGACCCAACTTTGGGAGATACATGTATTGCTATACATGTATCTCGGATGGGCCCTGGGCCCGCTGCACATGTCCACACTCGTGGGTGTGACTCCCACGTTCACATTTGGGAAATGAAATAAAACTTTTTCATTGACCGGAAAAAGGAGCAAAAAAGGAAAAAGTTGAAAGCCTCTTATTTCATGTCTGTATATCTTAAATCATCATTGATTTTCCTTGGGGTTCATGATGTGTACATGAAAATGATCTGGTTCGATTTTTGGTATAGATTGAAAAGTCTGTTTGCATAGATTGGCGTAAAGCTTTTTAATTGCTCTAACTGTGTATCGTACATATCATTGATTCTATCGACAATTAGACGAAGACATACTCTTCGACGTTCTGTATCATACACTTGTCGCGTGTGCTAAAATATTAGGATACATTATCTACACTTGGATTTATTAGCCGATGCAATGTTTCTTTCTTCTTCTTTTTTTTTTTGTTTAAGAAAGAAAAATAAATTGATGTCGTCTTATTAAAAAAATGATATAAATGTAATCGATATCAAAGCGTTGGTGATGATTTCTTGTCTACAGTTGTCAATCAATTTATAGTAATGATATTGCTATGAAATTGAATCATAACTAAGAAATCAATTTGTAAAAGCAATGTAGTTGATCTCTAACTATAAATTGGGAATAGTAATGTAGTTGATATCAAATTTTGGAATTGATTGTCATTTATTCGTGACAACTAACGAAAAGAACGTTTTTGATATATACACCGCAAAGAACATGTTTTTGCATAATGTTTTTCGAATCTATTTTAACTTCAACTCAAAGAACATGATATTGGCAAATTGTCTGACAAATCTATTTATAGCTCATTGTTGAGTCCTTTTTGTCATGGCGACATGAATTATAGGAAAAGAGCGTTAAATTTTGAAGGGAATGGGCACAAGAATCTATACTATTATTTAAAAGATCTTCTTCGGCTTATATAAGCTTCATTTTAGATTTCTGAAATTACTCTCATCAGGCGCAAAAAATATCTCACATTTGAAAAAGATATTGATTAATTAATATATAATTATATTATAGGTTTTTCCCTAAAAAACAACTTAAAAGTATAGTAATTATACGGAAACCACATTTTATTTTTAATTTATACATAAACCATCTTTAAAGTTGGTTTTTGTTGCATCAACCACATACCAGTTAAATTCTGCACTTAAAACTCAAAATTACTCTTAAAAACTCGCATTAAATGTATATGACTCATTTTTGTAGTGTTTAGGTCTTGTTAGGATACAACTCAAGTATTTTGAACTTTGTTTTTTAAAGTTTATTTTTGATTTATTAGTGAAAGTTTAATTAGGAGGTGGTTGATTACAACAATACCTACTTTAAAGGTAGTTTTTGTACAAATTGAAAATAAAAGGTGGTTTCTATATAATTACCCTATTGTTAATATGGTTTGAAGTAAAAAAATCCTATATTATATGCAACTTTGAGTCTCATAGCTTCGCATTAAAAAGTTCAAAACTGCCGGCCCCCTACCCTACCACAAAAAAAAAGTTCAAAATTAATATCATAACAAAAGCATAAATCCTCCTCATGTCAGCCTCTGCTTTACAGGTGCCGGCTAGCGACTGGAGGGAGGATCTCCTCAACATTAAATGAGAAATGAGAGGGAGTATGACGGTGGCCCACGTGGTCCAATGAGTCATAAAGTCAGTTTGGGGCTAGAGGCATGATGATGCCTATTTAGCATTAAATGCGACGTGGACACATTGTCAACAAGAATAAGCTCGAAGAAGAAGTTATCCTCTAGCTTTGCTGAGAAGAAACGTCTTTCGAGTCATCCTCGTGAGGCGTTAATCACATGGTCGAGTGGACTCCTGGTGAGTCGTCTTCGACAAGTGGGTCGACTAGTACCGCTTTTCGAGTCGACACGAAGGAATATCGACTCGACCAGTTGGCTAAGTCAGATTTTGCTGGACTTGAGCCATCAAGTTGATTGGGGCATTGATTGCGAAAATACATCTGTCCGTCACTTGTCAATAAATTGTATTTCGGCGAGTGGGAACACCATAACAATATATAATTATATTATAGGGTTTTTTCCCCCAGAAACCACCTTAAAATATAGTAATTATACGAAAACCACCTTTTATTTTTAATTTATACATAAACTACCTTTAAAGTTGGTTTTTGTTGCATCAACCACATCCCAGTCAAATTCTGCACTTAAAACTCAAAATTACTCTTAAAAAACCCGCATTAAATGTATATGACTCATTTTTGTAGTGTTTAGGTCTTGTTAGGATCGATACAACTCAAGTATTTTAAACTTGAATTTTTTAAGCTTATTTTTTATTTTTAGTAAAAATTTGATTAGGAGGTGGTTGATTACAACATACCTACTTTGAATGTGGTTTTTGTACAAAGTGAAAATAAAAGGTGGTTTCTATATAATTACTCTATTGTTAAGATAGTTTATAGCAAAAAAATTCCTATATTATATGCAACTTTGAGTCTCATAGCTTCGCATTAAAAAGTTCAAAACTGCCCCCTACCCTACCACCAAAAAAAAAGTTCAAAATTAATATCATAACAAAAGCATACATCCTCCTCATGTCCTCCCTCTCATATTAAAACCCCGTCTTCCTTCCTCTCTCTCTCTCTCTCTCTCTCTCTCTCTAAGGATGGTGAAGATGCCTCACGCCATCTTCTTCGCTTTGGGCTACATGAGGGACTTCTTCAGGAAAATCCTAGATTTTCCCAAGTCCATGAATGTCGGGGTAAATTAATATTTGGTTTTTTATATCCGTATTTTAAACTGATCTTTTTTATTGGGCAAACTGATGAAAAAGAACACAGCTATATATATCATTTAGTTTTTTATGTATGTTAATTAAGTAGCGAATCTTAAATGTTACATGGCATTTGAAATAGCACAGATTCGTCGTGGACATTGTAACCTTGCGTTATTACTGTATAGCATACATTATTTTATCTTATATTGCATTTCGAAGGCTTGAAGTAGTTCAATGTTTACCTCTGGACTGTTTGTTAATTCTTTGTTTTTTGATAGCCATTTTCAGACTGTTTGTTAGCTAACTGACGGTTTTTTACCATTTAGCGTTCTATATTGGGTTCAAACTGATAAAAATGAATACATATAATACCATTTAGCGTTCTATATTGGGCTCAAACTGATAATATTCTCTTGCAAAATCAATATTCATATAAGAAAAAATTGCATTTGTGCTACAATTTAATTCAAAGAAAAACACTTCTCCTTGAATTTTTTGAAGCGAATTCTTCAATTAAGTCATCATACTCGAGTTTCTCGAAGTATTCATTTGCAATTGAACCCAAACAAAAAGACAAAAACAGCCCAAAGCAACGGTAATAAAAAGAGCCGTTGGAAGCAGAAAAAGCCATTGTCGGTCGACCGGAAATTTCATCGGTCGACCGGAAATTTCATCGGTCGACCGGACCGGTCGACCGACAGATTATTATTAAAATAATCAAACAATTAATCTAGATAGCAATTCAATAATATGAATGTCATCAAATCAAAGTTAAATTGAGATTATAATTAAAACCAAATAGAAATATATCAGATTATCGTCCATTAGGATTTTCGAGTTTTAGATGACTAGAAGGGAGATGAACTTTTTAACAAGTAAGCATTATTTCCTCTTTCTATTTTTCAACTTTGATAAGCTTTTTTTAAACTTATGAAGACCGTGAGAAACTAGTCAGAAGGCATAACTGTGCCACCCAAATAGCTAAATCAAATCTAATTTCCAGTTTCAAAACAAAAACCTAGACGAAACCGCCCAAACATCATAACCCCTAATTCAACAACTAATATTCAGCCAAGATTCAAAATCAGAAATCTTAATTTCATTGCAAAACATCAAAACCTCAAATTTCCGTCCAAAAAACCCTAAAATTATTTATTTAAAAAAATTACCTGATTGTATTTCTTTGATGGACCGATCGGTCGTCGGCGTCGATAAGTCGATTCAGATTCTCTCCGTCTTTTAGGTGACTGGATCGGACTATCGGGGGGGAGTCAGTGGGGTGGTCCGAAGGATGGGAGTAGAGACGGGAAGGAGGAGTTGGAGGCTGACGGAACAGAGACGACGGAACAGAGCGGTGTCTCCGTCGATTCAGATTCTCTCCATTTTTTTTCTTTTTTTTTAGCGGCGGAACAGAGATGAGAAGGAGGTGAGGAGGCTGACGGAAATAAAGGAGGAGTTGGGTAGGGCTTTGGGTATTAATAAGAGTTTTTTACTAATAGAACCCCTAATAATTTTTGCATAAAAGTCCTCTTACAAAGTCCACCTAAAAAATTATTACGTTTTGAGGGGTGAAGGATGTAATCGCGATGGTTATCCCCCCTTCCCTAGCTCTGGGTTGCACCAGCCCTGGGGCTTGGTGGGCTTACCCCAGGGCCGGCCCTGTGCGTGATACCGATCATCGTCAGTAAATTAATAGATTTTTATTAAATATTAATGTTTTATTAAATCTATTTTAATATTGAAATCATTTTTTCTATTTATTAATTATGTTCATTTTTATATTTGTTTTCAATTTGAAAAATAACAAAATGCATATATAATTGGAGTTTTCTATAGAAACCACCTTTAAAATAAAGTTATTCTATCCAAACCATTGTCATTTATACGTAAACTATCTTTAAACGTTTTTTTTTTCTTGCTACACCACTTAGACTGACTTTTAAGTTAACTTCTTTTAAGTTATTCTATCCAAACCTTTTGTTATAGTGTCACTGTTGGCCCATGATGGGGATTTTGTTCTGTTTAAAGCCTGGATTGTGCATTTACCCATAAGGATATTTTTTCTATTAAAAAAATTTGGTCTAAATAGGAAAAAGGAGTTGGGGCAATTGCATACAGACCCTTCAATCTTTCAACATTGCAAAACTTTTGTCTCTTTACTAATTATTATAGACAACGATTTAATGATAAAAGCAACTCTTAATTATCAATTTCTTATCTCTTATTAATCCAATTTTATGTGCAATTAAGCAAAAATGTGTATGTTCATTACTTTGTAATTTAAAAACATTAGAATAAGTTAAAAAGATTTTATCTCTTTACTAATTACTATAGATAGATACATTTTAAGATTTATACTAACTCCTAATTAATAATTTATTCTCTTGTAGTTTAAATTTATTAGGATAGAATAACAAGTTTTCACATCGTTACTAATTATCATGGATGATTAAACTTAAAGATAAAACTCCTAATCATCAATTTCTTATTAGTATCAATTTAACATTTTCACGTGCAATGAAACACATACAAATGGTATAAATTTAAATATTATTATCACAATTTCTCATTAATAAATTATTTATATTAATTAGTATAGGATAACAACGTAATGCCAGGGTGCTTTTGTCCATGAAAAGTTTTTTCCAAACTCACATTTTTAAAAAGAATATGATTTTTTAACAAGTCCTAATTTCTTTCAACCGTCATTATTTGAACTTTTTGCTCTCTTTCCACCAACAGTTTCATCCTTACTATTTTCTTTATATATCAGCATAAATAGTTGTATATAAATATGTGTATAGAATCTTGGTGGTATAATTAGCTGTTTTATAAAAAAATTATCATATTTTCTTTATGTCTTGTATAAGCTAAATAAAAATAGTTTAATTATGTAGGTGGGTTTAACCTATTTACATGCTATGAAATGATTTTATATCTTAAAGAAAGAGAGAAAACAAAAGGCAAAAGGAATTTTTCTCATTAAATTACAAGTTTGTCTTTTCAATAACAACAAGAAGTAAGCCATAACCTGAGTTGAGCAAGAATCCATTTAAGCAGATAGGAGAAATTGTCCTTCTAACTTTTTTCCCCATTCATTTTGGTTTGGGGTTTGTGAATCCACTTATGATTATCTGTAGGATGTGTGCTTTGATATGTATCACATGTCAATACGAATTTTAAAGCAAAATATATAAATGAAAGTTGGCTGAACAACTTATCCTATCCACTAAAATGGATTCTAGCTCAACTCAACAGATTATTTATTCATTCAAATTTTTATTTGCCTACAATTTTTTCTATTTTAATAATATAAATATCCAACTACATAGGATCTTTTTGTAATATGAAGGATATTTAGGAACAGTAACGTAAACAAAGAGTAAAAATAAAAGAAGAGGAAGAAAATAACTTCTCATACCTTAATTTACAAATCTTGTTTGAATGCTAAAAATTGAAAAAAAAATGTAAAGTTGAGATGACAAAATGATGTGTTATCTACTTTGTTTCTGTTCTGTTTGTAGAAAACGACGTCAGTTTGTTCAAAACATGTGGAATCAGTGATCCAGGAAAAAATATCGGGCCGATCGACCTATGGCATAGGTGTGGTCGACCGACAGCATGCACATTATAGGGTTTGAAACCCTATGTCTGGTCAGTCGACCGAACGACTATGACTGGTCGACCGACAACCTACTAAATTACAGGCTGAGAATTTGAGCTCTCTGGCCGATCGACCGGTGCAACCCCTGCGGTCAACCGGATAGCGGATACAGGCCGGGTTTGATTTCTTGGTCTATTTTGATTTTTTAGCTAATTATAGGCGTTTTAGGGGTGTAACTAACCCCTAAAACCGCTCATTAGTAGGGTTGTGATCCCCTTAAATCGTACAAAATAGTTTTTGAACCGTTCAACTCGTGTTTGAATGAGTCAAACATGAAATTCGCATTCTGGGAACGAACTTTGCGTCTTGAGCTTTGGACGCGGAGTTAGGCCACGCGCATGGGGCTGAAACGCAATGGTGAGCACTATGTTCTGTTCTTGGAACGTGGATGTGAACTCCGCGTATTAGATTTGAAACGTAGCAATGAGCTCTGCATTTTATTGTTGGGACGCAGGGATGAGCTCTGCGTCTCGAGGTGAAGAGACCATCACTTTGTAGTCTCTTTTCATTAGAGCGTTGCAAAAATTATCGTCTTGTAATCTGTGACACCCTTGGTTTCGCACAAGGCTGCAGTCCAAGGTGAACCTAGAGATGTCAAACATGTCATGCACCTACACTATGCATAAACTCGTTTCACCAACCACTCCTCTGGTTGAATCAAATAAAAGTACAGGTACAAAATAGGCAAAATAAGGGAAATAAATACAATAGACATAATATGAAAGAGATCTCTCATAAATAAAAATCATGTCTCAACTATAGTATATCTGATAACTAGAATAACGAAAATGTCAACATAAATCAACTAGAATCGTACTAAGGCACACTGCTTTTACAATATAAGAATGAAACTCTAATGTCTAAAAAAAATATAAAATCTACTGTGGAGTTTCTAAAAACTCATGTGACGGTGACTATGCAAGAACTCTGTCATCCTGCGACTCTACGAACATTTGTACTACCTAAAAGAAGAGAAAACAACAACAAAAACCACATAGAGAGCGTCAAAGCGCTACAGCAAGATCACCTCCATCTGCCCCTAGGGGAAGGGCTGTAATATGGAGTGGAGGCTCTATCTATTAAGCATAGTCTATCTAGATTTATTTTTCCTATATCTAAGTGGAATTAACATTTAGAAACCTAAACACGAGACGTAGTACATCGAGCAAAATAATCCAAACAAGAAAAACGTTATGTATATACCATATATCTCAAATTATAGATATATAAATATTAATACCGAACTAAGAATAGACAATCTAATAAAATCAACGATTAGAAATCCACAACACGAGACTGGTATGTCGAGCGAAATAATCCA